ATCACTCGTTTTGAAAGTAAATTCTGTGTTTCGAGGCCTTAAAACCTCCTCTTTATTTTACCTCAATTTGCGTGCGCAGTCCGGGCGTGTATTCGGAAAGCCATTATGTAAAAGTCTGTGAAAAATGATGAATTTTGCCTTTAAAATGAATTTAGGTTGACTTCGGTCAACATTTTGGGTAAACAAACCCGAACCCGTGATTTGATGGTCCCGGAGGGTCCGTAGGAAAATATGGGGCTTGGGCGTATGCCCGGAATCGAATTCCGAGGTCCCAAGCCCGAGAAATGAATTTTTAAAGAAAATTATTTTCTGGAATATATATGAGTTTTTGAAAATAAAATATGTTTGAATTTGATGGTATCTGGTCTGTATTTTCGTTCCGGAGCCTGGTACGAGTTTGAAATAACAATTTGGTTGAATCTGTAAAATTTGGTAAAGATCGAGATTGGTTTGGTATAAAACGGACTTAAAGTTGAGAAATTGAAAACTTTGGTGTTCTTGGATGATGGCATGAATTTGGGGTCTAATTCATAGTTGTTGATGTTATTTTGATGATTTGATTGCACGAGCAAGTCCGTATGATATTTTTAGGGTGGTGTGCATGTTTGGTTTGGAGCCCCGAGGGCTCGGATGAGTTTTAGATAGGCCACGGAGCGAAATTTGGACTTAGGAAATTGTTGGAGGTTGCAGGTCTGGTGCTGGCCTCTGATCTCGCGATTGCGAGATCAGGGATCACAAATGCGAAGTCTGAGATCTTGGGAATTGCGAGGGGCTCTTCGCAAATGCGAAGTAAACCCTGGCTAGCCTTGCTCGCAATTGCGAGCATTCCTTCGTGTGAAGTACTCAGAATTCCCCAGCTGTCGCAAATGCGACAATACCTTCGCAAATGCGAAGGAAGCAGAAATCCTCAGGGTTCACAAATGCGAACCCCTTATCGCAAATGCGAAGAATGCAGGTTCCTTAAGGATTCGCAAATGCGAACCCTGGTCGCAATTGCGACATCAGAGACCTGCTAAATGAATTTCACACGGGACAACCATTTTTATAACTTTTTCAAAACCTAAACTCTCTTTGGGCGATTTTCTAAAAAAAAATTCTTCTCCAAACCGATTGTAAGTCATTTCTAACTCATTTTCATTAATCTTTAACATCTTTTCTCATGATTTCAACTCAAAATCAAAGGTTTTCACGGGGGAAATTAGGTGTTTTGGGTAGAACTTAGGTTTTTCAAATTTTGGGGATTTGGACCTCGATATGAGGTCCGATTTCAAAACAAATTATATATTTGAGTTCGTGGGTGAATGGGTAATCATGTTTTGGTTCGAACCTCGGGTTTTGACCATGTGGGCCCAGGGTCGATTTTTGACTTTTTGGGAAAAACTCTAGAAAATCTATTTTCATGCATTAGAATTGATTCATTTAGCATTTATTGATATAGTTAAGTAACTTGTGGCTAGATACGAGCGAATTGGTGGTGGAATCAAGAGGTAAAGCTGTAGTTGAGGCTTGAATTGTGTTCGTGGCATCGAGGTAAGTGTTTGGTCTAACGTTAGCTTGAGTGATTAGGAGTTGTGTCTTATTTGCTATGTGTTAACTGTGGAGTACGACGTATAGGTATGGTGATGAGTATCTATATGTCGGTTTCAAGCATGCCCGTGAGTCTTGTATTGTAATTGTTGTGACTCCGTCGTGGTTTATTCATGCTTAATATGATGATTATCATTATTGTTCCCTTGCCGGGATGTTGTTGTTATATTGTGATTCCCTTGCCGGGATGTTGTTGTTACATTACGGTTCCCATGCCGGGATATTGTTGTTATATTATTGTTCCCTTGCCGGGATGTTGTTGTTATATTATTGTTCCCTTGCCGGGATGTTGTTGTTATATTATTATTCCTTTGTCGGGATGTTGTTGTTGTATTGTTGTTCCCTTGCCGGGATATTGTTGTTATATTATTGTTCGATCGCCGGGATTCTTTTAATGATTGGTGTTGATATATGAAATGGGAGCGGGTTGCACGCCTGCAACGGTAGTATATTAAATGGGAGCGGGTTGCACGCCTGCAACGGTAATATATGAAATGGAAGCGGGTTACACGCCTGCAACGGTAATATATCAGATGGGAGCGGGTTGCACGCTTGCAACGAGATATATGAAATGGGAGCGGGTTGCACGCCTTCAACGGTAATATATGAAATGGGAGCAAGTTGCACGCCTGCAACGGTAATATATGAAATGGGCGCGGGTTGCACGCCTGCAACGGTAATATATGAAATGGGAGCGGGTTGCACGCCTGCAACAAGAAAGAAATGAAAGTGAATACTGTGTTTGTTACTCTTATCCTTGTTAGCAATTGAATTTCGGTTTCTTTACATTCCTCTCTGGTATTCTGTTGTTATCTTATACTCCCCGCAGCATGCTTTTCCCTCCCCTCTTTAACTGTAAATATCTGCCTTTATTTTCGCTGTATATGATTTAACTGCACAGGTTTATTTGGTAGTCTGGTCCTAATCTTGTCATTACTTCGCCGAGGTTATGCTAGACACTTACCAGCACATGGGGTCGGTTGTGCTGATACTACACTCTGTACTCATGTGTGCAGATCCCGATACTGTAGCTTTCGGACCGCAGTGAGGTTGCTGCTTCCAGTTCATCAGGTAACCCGAGGTAGTCTTGCAGGCGTCCGCAGGCCTTGGCGTCTCCTTCTATCCCTTCATTCTGTTTCTTTTATGTACTTCAGAGGCAGCGTTGTATTTATCTTTCGGACCCTTATTTGTAGTGTTCTTAGACAATCTGTGAAATTGTGACACCAGTTCTGGATAGTCTATGTTTAAGAAATTGTATTGGTGATATTTTAATAGTTATAATTTGTTCTACCGCTTGTTTAATTCCGCTGATGATATAATGTTGATTCATAACTGTTAAAGGATTAAGAATGAGAAAAAGGTAAATATTTGAAATAATTGGCTTGCCTAGCTTTCACTAATAGGCGTCATCACGACTCCCGAGGGTGGGAAACCCGGGTCATGACAAAAAATTCATACTAAACTTTTAATATTAAATATCGATTTTTCTAATATTTAAGACATTAAATTCTTGATCGATTGCAAGGTCTTATATATTAGTTATAATATATTCGTAATGTCATTAACAAAATATAAAGGAGAATAGAGATTTTAGTTTGATCTACTTGCGACAATCTTCTAAATTTAGTTATTATCGTCATCTTCTAATCAATACAGCCATTAAAAAGTTACATCAAAATTGTCAATATTAAATTATATATAAAATAAGAAGAAAAGAAAGTAATTAAAAATAGGTCAATTTAAAAAATAAATAAAAAGAAAAATGTAGCTATGATATTCGAGTGGGCTAATATTCTAGTGAAGACTTTTTCGACTTTTTAATACCACGCTACCTTTTTTTTTATTCTTGGAAAAGTTACTCCTAAATATTAGGCATACTAACAAAAAACTTGCACGAATCATGGAAATCTAAACTACATTAAGTATATTACTCCTATGTCTTTTTAAAAACATTCGAGTTATATTCAAATAAGGAAAAATATATATCTATATAAGTAAAATTCTACACGATATTAAATTCTTTAATATTAAGAGTTGTTACAAAGTTTAAATAAGGAAAGGTAATTATTAATTTAAAAGTTTTAAATATTAAAATAATAATTAAATGACAATTTCATCCAATGCGAACTCTATTTTTAGAGGGTAAAAAAGGCGAACAACATTTCGTTAAGGTCCTTCGTGCTTTTAATATAGTATAGAAGTATAGATTTAATACCACGCTACCTTTTTTCTTATTCTTGGAAAAGTTACGAGGAAAAGAAAAAGTAGTACTCCTAAATATTAGGCATACTAACAAAAAAACTTGCAGGAATCATGGAAATCTAAACTACATTAAGTATATTACTCCTATGTCTTTTTAAAAACATTCGACTTATATTCAATTAAGGAAAAATATATATCTATATAAGTAAAATTCTACACGATATTAAATTCTTAAATATTAAGAGTTGTTACATAGTTTAAATAAGGAAAGGTAATTATTAATTTAAAAGTTTTAAATATTAAAATAATAATTAAATGACAATTTCATCCAATGCGAACTCTATTTTTAGAGGGTAAAAAAGGCGAACGACATTTCGTTAAGGTCCTTCGTGCTTTTAATATAGTATAGAAGTATAGATTTAATACCACGCTACCTTTTTTCTTATTCTTGGAAAAGTTACGAGGAAAAGAAAAAGTAGTGCTCCTAAATATTAGGCATACTAACAAAAAACTTGCAGGAATCATGGAAATCTAAACTACATTAAGTATATTACTCCTATGTCTTTTTAAAAACATTCGACTTATATTCAATTAAGGAAAAATATATATCTATATAAGTAAAATTCTACACGATATTAAATTCTTAAATATTAAGAGTTGTTACATAGTTTAAATAAGGAAAGGTAATTATTAATTAAAAGTTTTAAATATTAAAATAATAATTAAATGACAATTTCATCCAGTGTGAACTCTATTTTTAGAGGGTAAAAAAGGCGAACGACATTTCGTTAAGGGTATTCGTGCTTTTAATATAGTATAGATAGATAGATAGATAGATATAGATATAGATATATAATATATAATATATAATATAGATATATGATGATTGTTGATAATGAAGATATTGATCATTATTCGTTGTTTGCTGCTTCATATTCTAAAAGCAACTTGTGCTAACTTAGAAAAGTTCATATCAGAGATGGACTGAGTACCAGTTTGTAGACTCAGAACAGAAATATCATAATAATTCAAATATGGCAAAAGCTTGACGTTCTGGAAAAGGCTGTAAATGGGAAGATCTCAAGCATTTTAACCAATAACCAGTATATAACAGCTCGGAGTCCGTACTGCCACAGGATGTGCAACCCTCAGAATCTGTCCAAATTTTGGGTGGTGAATATTAATGGAAATGTGAAAAGCGAATCAACTAGTAAATACAAATTAGCATGTCAACTGAGGTCATCTAACCTGCCCTGATTTATTCAAGAGCAGAATAAGCTCCCACATTGAATACTGATGAGATTGACAAAATCCAAATACAAACCGGTGTGTTCACATCATAGGACCTGTATGGTCCGATAAAACCTTTTCTTTGAAGCTTTACCAATCTAATGATCAGTAACATGTTAAAACAGACGGATCAAAACTAACAAATAAGAAGTTAAAACAGAGACCACCATTTCCTGCTTCGGTTATTAACCTGCTGAGAGGGAAAAGATTGATTTGTACGTCTCCCTTGTGAGCAGAAAATAGGGAGACTAAGGCTCCTCTCCATCAATGGGTTACCTAACCACAACATCAGAACAACTCCAACAACACCGACAACAGGAGCAGCAGCTGCAAAAAACCATCTTCCTCGTGTACCCTCACTACCAGATTGTTCATTGACAGTGTCATTATGGATCACTTCCGCTGATTCTGCTCCACCATGACCATATTCATCATTTTCTTCACCATCAGTGCTACTAGAAGAACCATCTTCATTTATTTCATGCTGTGGGATTCCGTGAGCCATCAAATTGCTACTGGCCCTCTGCTTTCTGTACTCATATTCCAGGTCATCAGTTGGAAGTTCATAGCGGCAAAGGGGGCATGAATTTCTTGACATTAGCCAAGGCAAAATACAGGAGGGGTGATACAGGTGAGAACAAGGAAGTTGGTTTACAACTATGCCAACAACAAGAGAATCCTTGCAGATTGCACAAGTCAAACTGTCAAGCTGTTTGTGGTCTTCTTGAACAACCAAACGTGGTAGATGATTTAAAACAGAGACAGCTGCAGGTGGTGCTCCTCTTCTTAAACCATCTGCTTCAGAGAGATGCTCTAGTAACTCCTCGAAAGTTCTAGCATCAAGATAGTCACTGGAATCAGTCCGCAGTTCTAACTCCTGTGAGTTGGCTGACATGTCAGTAACATGTCTTTGACTGCCCTCAGGAATTCTGAAACGAACTGTACCCTGAAACTCAGGAGAACGTAACTGTCTGGGCCAACTTCCAGGGTGACTGCTTTCATCAAGGCGTAATGACCTTTGAAGTTGAGCTCTAGCATCAAGAATGTCTACCGCAACAGTATCAACCTCCTCCAATTCATTGTCATCTTCTTCTTCCTCCTCGTTATCAGAGTCCCAGTGATACATACCAGCACCCATTGGGTCAATATCAGTATCAGTTTCAAAGTCACTTCCTTCATCTGAGTGACCAGAATGATCATTATCAAGGTAACTATTACCATCAACAGAAGCATCAGAGTTCGCTCCATAAGCACTATACTCAATTTCACTATTAAAGTTCCTATACCCATTGAAGGTGACATTTGATTCAGTCTCCCCAAATAGAGAATCAGCACCATCACTTTCAGTGTCAGAATGAACCCTCCTCCACCTCCTAGACCCACTTGGAGTGGTTCGAGAACTGGTGTGCTGCACTGACCTTAAACCAGCATCTCCTTCTATTGATTGATTATCATGCTCTAGACCATTGGCTGGGTTTTGCCTTGCCAAATTTATCATTTGTGAGAAGTGTTGAGAAAAGAGATTCTCAATGGACTCAGAACTACTGTACATCCTTCTTCTCGACACAGGCGTCCTCCTTTGATAATCTCGCATGGGTGTCCCAAGATCCTCCAGGAGTAAAAATTTACAATCAGCACATATATTTATTGCTTCAAACTCACCAGCCTCGTTATCTGATATCAACAATCTATGACATAAAGCACATGAAGGAGCAAGTCCAGCTTGGCCAACAGCCAAAATGCTACTCATGTGGCCAAACGCATAATCAGAAAATTCAGGTGAAACAGCATCTGAGTTTGCATCCATCTGCATAAAAACAGAGAGTGCAAGATGAAATCAAAAAACAGATGAATATTCAGCAACTGAAACTTGCACAAGAGTAATGTTTTAGACAAGGGAAAGAACAGAAAATACAACTGGAAAGAGGAGCCACATTCAGACGAGTTAGACATGATGAACTATCTTCTGCTGCTTGAGAATTAGTTCAAAACTACAAATCGTACATGGTTCAACAGCAATGGGGGACTTGGCTGGCTAATTTATAACCCCTATTCTATACCGAGCTACAATGACATTTACCTCCAAACATTGCTCAAAATACAGAAGAGATATATGTATGATGTATTTGCATGCTCGTGCATGATGCATGCATATTTGATGGCTACTCCTTAGAATAACTCCAGAATGACCTTAAGATAAAATTTTACAACTAAAGAACAACAACCAACAAGCTTGTTTGAATTGAAAAAGCTGGAGATGCATAATCCACGTCAGTTTCGTGGATATGATCTATTACATATTCTGAGTGCTTTGGGAAGTTGAAAGTTGAGGATGGAGGCTACCGTCTTTGCCACTGAGATTTCGCATAGGTTTTCTTTCCAAAGGCAGAATAGATACTAAGTTTGAGAACCTTCTCCTGGTGAGTTTGTGGTTTTCATTCAGTTTAACTGGTTCCGGATGGGGCTGGCTTCATTTGTTAAGCGGATATCCTTCTTCCAATAAATGATTTCTCCTCCTTGAAGTACCCTTCAGTCTTTGGAATACAACAACAACAACCTAATTGAATCCCACAAGCGGGGTCTGGGGAGGGTAGTGTGTATTACCCCTACCCTGGGGTAATACAACCAAAAAAAAAATTAAAATTGAATATAATGTCACCTTTCCCAAACACAATCAAGTTGCTTTGATGCAGTTATTCTTCTATGTTGACCTATATGAATGATTGCCAATTCACTTAAACTGCCAAATGCTGCTATGAATACGACCACGTAGTCACATTGCACAAAATTATCCAAATACATCCCTGTCTACCACAGCCACCATTCAAAGGCCATCCGCTTAAGCTACCAATCTTCTTTAACAAGCACATGGATTATTTGTTTAGAAATAACTATCCACCATAGAAACATCAATCACGATCCAGAGTTTTCTTTCGAAAATAGGGGGAAGAAGGCCAGTCCTCAATTAACTCATTCTTCTGGATAGCTGCTTCACAGATTAAGGATCATCAGAATTAACCTCAGTTGGTGCTCATTCCAGCTTCCTCATTTTCCCATAATCTTTACCATGGAAGTTCCAATATAATGGCAAACTGATCAAGCTGACGGTTCATTTTTTAATCTAACCACTGATCAATTGCCAAAGTTTTCATAATGTAAAATCTCACTGATCCTCTCATCTATGTCTTGACAGAATAGAGACCATTATACCCCTAATAAAGTTTAAGACAGATAGAAGGCAAAAGGGAGCAAGATAACAATTAAACTGTTTATAATTGAACAATTAGCCAAAAAGAAGGCAAACTAATTCACAGAGGATCCAGGTGTAAAGGAACTGGCAATTTTTGCAGGAAGCTAAATTATTAGACTATGAAATCTACAGAGCACATTTGACAATACACACACACAAAAAAGCACAATAATTTTGTGAAAAGGAATAGGTAAATACACACCAGATATTATGGGTGCAGTCTACCGATCGTCAATTTGTTAATAGAAGAAGCAGCACAGTCGATCTCCTAAATTAAGCAAAAAACAACTGAGGCAAAAACAAAAGGAGAGGATAAAGGGTCAATTCCAGCTGCAATGAGAAAAGACAACGCGCTAAGACTTGAAAATTTTATTTACAGTAACAAAAAAAGAAGCAACTTTGGGAATTAACTGACAAATATAAGTTGTTAATAAGCAGAATAACATCAGAATTGAAGATTGTTAAGTAACACAAAGCCAAAAAAGGAAAAGAAAAATAGTGAATCAGAGGAGAAATTAGGGCTTACCCAGAGAAAAGCAGAGATTTTGAACATGAAAAATGAAGATGAAGCATGAGATGGAAAAAACGGGGGGGGGGGGGGGGGGGAGCCCCAGCTTAGGAAGAACCAGTCATTGGTACAGTCATTGGTGTGAATTCCGCACCCCACCAAATACTAAAACATTTTTTTCCAGGACAAGATACTTTTGGGAGAGAGAAAAGATAGAGAAGCTTTCGTCCTTTGAGGGCTCCTGCGCAGGAAAAATACAAATGGAAAAAGAGATTATAAAGTGAAAAATTAAATTCTTACGGATAATATAAAAGTTCAAGTAGATAATCAACCAGACTACTAAGACCTTGACTTACCAACTTCAAATGAAATAAAGAAAAGAAAACTTCAAATGAATGTGATATAGGTATGAATATGGTCCAATACATAGACGGTGTCTTTGAGCTTGTCACGATTCTTCTTTATTTAGATATTACTCATTCCGTTTCAATTTTGATGAACTAGTTTGACTCGGCACGAAGTTTAAGAAAAAATAAGAAGACTTTTGAAACTGATGAAGTCTAATACCTGACAGACCTCCCCCTCGGCAACCTCAAACCAACTGAACCCTACCCCTAGCTGGCTGTGCGGGTGGTGTAGCTACTGGTACTAAAACCATAGGCAGTGTGCTCTGCTGTTGGACTCTACTCAGAAGTCTGACGCAATCCTCTTGAGATGACTCAAGCCTCCACACTCGAACAACCCTTCCTCAAATGAGGCTGCTGACCCTGATAACCCAAATAACTGCCTATGGAACCCGCGCAGATGGAGCACGATAAGAACTCTCGGTCGGAAGCGCAGTGAATGATGACTAAACTGGGCGAGCACTGTATGAACTGTGGATAAATAATGAACCACAAGGAATCTGACGAGCTGCCTGAGCAGGCCTAAAAGAACGACCTTTGCTGTGATGTGACTGGCCTCCAGACGAGGCACCTCCAAAACCATATAAACCACAGGGCCTCTTCGCCTCACGCTCATCTCGCTCATGCTTGCGGATGCTCCAAACGCCTAGCAATCTCAACCACCTTGTCGAACCTAGCATCCGCCTCGGCCTCTCGAGCCAAATCATATTGTAGACCATAGTTGAGGCCATCAATAAACTTCCTAATCTCCTCCCTCTCAGTAGGACAAAACATACTATATGACGCGCCAACTTCGCAAATCTCATCTCGTACTAGGTCATAGTCATACCCTCATAGAGTAGATGCTCAAACTCCCTATGCAACTCCTCTATGCGACTCTGTGGAACAAACTTCTCTAAGAAGAGAACTGAGAATTGATGCCTTGTAAGTGGTTCTGCACCAGATGGTCTGCCTGACTCATAGGCCTGCCACCACCTGTAGGCTGGCCCCGTCAGCTGAAAAGCAGTAAATTCAACTCTACTGGAGTCCAAAAGACCCATTGTGCAAAGAATCCGATGATACTAATAAAGAAAACCCTAAGCATCCTCGGAATCTTCTCCACTGAACTAGGGAAGACGAAGTCTCTGAAATAGCTCTAAACTCTTCTACTCCTCATCAGTAAAAGATGGTCCAGCCCCCGCTTATGCCACAACGATTGGCTGCACTAGCGAAACCCCTAGTGTCTGGTAACCTTGAGCTAGTTGCTCCGGTGTACGGGTGATAGGAGTCTGGGCTTGTCCCCCAGCCTGTGAGGTAGCTGGGTGCAACTTGTATCATACTCGTCTGGGTCAATCTTGTGTACACACTCAAGATCTGAGCCAAAGTTTTCTGAAGATCAAGTATAGCAATAGGCACCACCAGTGTTTGAGTTTTTCCTACTGGCTCAATATTATCCGAAACCTGCTCCTCCACTGGAGCAACTTGTGGCTCCACATGTGCTGCTCTAGTTGTAGTGCGAGCACCACCTCGGCCCCGGCCTCTCACGGCCCTGACTAGTGGCACTGGTGCTTGTTCATCCGATCTAGCTGAACATGTCTTCACCGTCTGTAAGAGAATAGAAGAGAAAAGGTTCAAACTTCGGAATTAACAAATTCTCACAACAAGAATGCAAGAAAGTAAAGTTTTCCTAACAGTTTGGAAGCCTCTCGAAGATAGGTACAGACATTTCCGTGCTAATCTGCAAGACTCTACTAAACTTGATCATGACCAGTAGAACCTTTGAACCTAGTGCTCTGATACCAACTTGTCACGACCCAAAAACACCAATCAGCCGTGATGACGCCTAACTCACTTGTTAGGCAAGTTGAACATAATAAAAGCCTAACAAGATAACAGAAATAACGAAAATAGTACAAGTCTAAAGACAATAACATAAATAATTGCGTCAATATATAAAATCCTCCAGAAATGGTAATACAGAGTCATGAGCTCTAAAATAGAAGTACAAGTCTGAAAGTACAGATGAAAATAATGTTTGAAAGTAATAACTGTTGATACCCAATTTTTCTCCCCATATATTTTATATGCAAAATACTTTCAAAATAATATATTTATGCATATATAAGCATGTCCGAGTGTTTTATTATTTTTTTCAAATTTTGAAAGATTTTTAAAAACCAATTTATTACCCTGTTTTAACAGTATAAAATCAATAATTATTCCCAAAGATTATCATTTTGTTGATTCAGTCATTGTATTCTCACATTTGTACCAAAATATAGCTAAGGTAATTTTTATACATTTTTACAAAATTATCTGGTATTTTAAAAGCTAAATTGCATACGATTGCAATTTTAGCCTATTTTAAGATTTAATAGCATTTTATAATTATGAAATTGGTTCCAATATTTTTTTTATTTAATGTTTACATGTTATTAACTGATTCGGTACCTTTAATTTGCTTTCAAAATCATTTACCTATTTTTTTATAAAATAAAAAGGGAAAAAGTGGCTATTTAAAATCTGGCCCTATTTTGGTTTCAATTATAGCCCAATTAATTCCCCCAATTACCCAGTTTTGGACCTAAAACGGACCAGCCCAATTCCGATTTAGCCCTTATCCAAACTCTGGTTTTCTAACTCAAAAAACCCTTTTAGTGTCCTAATGCACTTAATCATTAGGTGGCGACTCTTCAACCTCCAAAACCCAAATTCCCAAAAGGAATAGAGTTGTCCGCCCAAATGTTGTAAACTCGATTTCGCCTTTAAGGAAAAATGGGGCATCGACAGCATGGCGACTCTGCTGGGGATTTCTTTAGGCTTTTACCATTTTATGTTATTTGTGACTTTATTGCCTTTATTAAACGTCTTTATCTCTCTTCTACTTCGAAACTGACTTGGCTCTTTGTTTCTTTTCTTTAATGCTTTCTTTTACCGCTTTCCTTCAATACTGTTGTAATTATGAGCAATTATTGTAATCATTACTTTATGAACGTGCAAATACATGACAACTTGTTTCATTCTTGTAATTGCATCCTCAACATCATACTCCACTCGTGCCAAACAAATACCATAGCAATGCTTATAATGAGTGGTTGCGCCCTTCCGATATTATCACCCCCTAAATTTGGCAAAGGCATATTTGCAGTAAAACCAGTCGATCAGCGGTGCAGTCGACGGTTCCGTGCCTTTCCCTCTTGAGTTGTCCGCTCAAGGGTACCGGTCTAATACCCCATAGAAACCTTATTCTATTTAACTGTGCATGCATCACTGTCAAACCTAGCCAAGTCAGTTATGTTGTCCACATAATGACTCTTTAAGATAGCCTTGTCCAAAGTCCACTGGGTTTCCTTGTAACCCAAACGGACACTACCACGTCCGTGCATTTATTTGGAGAACTAAATGCCATTTATGCTAATTATTGGTTTAAATAAGTCGAGTCCGGCGGGGTAAGGGTCTAACACTTTGTTTTGCAGAAAATAAGGCACGAAGTCCCCAGATTTGGCATGGTAACCAACATTCACCCAAGGTTGCTAAGTTGGTGGGATGACCTTCACTCCAGCGATCAGACTCTCGTCCGCAAATATTTGGGAAATTTGCCTTCTCTTTTGGAAATCCAACCCGACAACAAAATCATAGAGGCTGCAACTTTATTCTGGGATAGCGACAGATCTGTGTTTCGCTTCGGGGACCTTGAAATGACACCTTTGCTCGAAGAAATAGGAGGGTTAGCTGGTATTCCTTGGGAGACTCCGGGTTTGCTTATGCCAGAAAATCGCAAGGGTAGGGGTTTCCTCAAGATGATGGGACTAAAGAAAAACCCAGACTTGACTTATTTGAAGGACTCTTACATTCCTTTCGACTATCTGTACGAGAGGTACGGCTATATCAAGTCCTACCGCACCTGCCCAGACGAATTCGCCCTTACCTCATTGGGGCATATCCACAGAAGAGTCTTCGTCTTCATATTCTGCTTCTTGGGGATGATAGCATTTCCCATGAAGAAGGCTAGGATCCATACCTGACTGGCCATGGTTACCAAGACTCTAATGGAAGGGATTGGCGGGCAGCCTTTCAGCATAGTACCAATGATTATCGCGGAGATATATCGAGACCTAGAAAAATGTCAGCAAGGGGCCAATCACTTTGAGGGTTGCAACTTACTACTCCAACTTTGGCTCATGGAGCACCTCCAAAAGGGTGAATATCGCCAGGAGATCCTACGTAGGGACTGGGATGATCATATCGCCTTCCATCAGCCAAGGCGAATGAACTATATGCCCAACATGTTCGCTCAACCAGAAGATGCTAAAGGATGGGTAGAGTTATTTGAAAATCTGAAAGAAGACCAAGTGCAGTGGATGTTCGAACGGTTCCCTACTAAAAAGTTCATTGTCCGATCTCGGGATGCACCGTTTCTTATACTCATCGGCCTGAGAGGAACTTATCCTTATGTCCCTCTCCGAGTCATGAGACAGGCAGGAAGGAAGCAGGTTATACCGAGGGTCGACAAAATGGGTCATTTCAGGGCCGACTTTCAGGATGACGATAGCCCTCATAAGTGCCAAGCTCAGCACATGTGGCACTGCAAAATCATATTGGGGAGAGATTCTATTGAGCCGGACAGATATCACGCCGGTTGTTCGCCATACTACTCAGGTTGGCTGGAGGATGATCTTGACGGCTTGGGACAACCAGGGTTCGCTCGAGGTCACAGGGTCGTCGATGAAAAGGCTGAGGAGCGGGTTAAGTACAACCAATTGCGTAAAAGGATTCGGGAATGCGAGAATGAGCACCGGGAAATTCAAGAAGCCCATCAAAAGTTGATCGAGGAATGGAAAGATATGGCTGTCAGCGCCAACAAACGACTAGGGTAT